CTAGTCCAAATTGCATCACGATAACCTTGCAAATCAATGATCTTACCACCAACGCTTAATTTGAAGTCCTTTGTACTTTTTAAGTACCTCAATATTCTCTTTATGTCCAATGCAATAGTCTAGTCTTAGACATGTGTTGGCTTGTGCCTTATCACCACACCCGTTGCATCTCTTTTAGTCCTAAATACCTACTTACAACCAACACTAGATTGATTTGCTAGAAGAGGTGCCAATTCCCATGTACCATTGTCCATAAGAGATTGGTACTCTTCTTCCAAAGCCTTCTCCCATTTGATTGCATCATGGGACTTCAATTCATGACATAGAGATAATAGATTAGTAAGAAGAGCAACATTTGCATGTTCTTCACTTATTTGAAGAAAGATGTGATCCTTCCTCCATTCACCACATTGCCTTCTTTCTTTCAAAGGATATCTCCTTTCATTTGTTGAAGAATATTCACCTTGTTGCACTCCATGTTCTTTTCCAACCTTCTTCTCTCTTAAACCTTATTGTTTCTCACTCAATGGTTGGTACTCCTCATTATCATTATCATCATAATCTTCAACATCTTCATTTCCTTCATTGCTGTTCTTGGCAATTGTAAGAGCCTTCATCTTTTCAACCTTCTTTGGCTTTTCATCTTCATCATCTTCATTGTCTTCATCTTCTTGTTTCTTTGATGAATTCAAAGATGTGTCCACAAACACACCATTACTCCCACTTAGATACATCTCCAAGTGCTCACAAGCACTTTTGTACTCTAAAAACTCAACATCGCGACTATTGATGATCTTCTTGGTTTCCAAGCACATTAGCCTATATGCCTTAGTACCTTCACAATAAGCAAGAAAAACACACTTTGTACCTTTTGCATCAAGTTTGGACATCATACAATCTGGTGTTTTTGCATATGTAATACAATCAAAGGTCTTCATATGGAAAATACAAGGTTGTGTGCCACTCCAAGCTTCTTGTGGTGTTATTGATGCAAGAGCACTTATTAGACACCTATTTCTTGTATATACTACATTTACCACAACTTTCACCCAAAATTCATAGTGAAGATTTTATACATGAAGCATGCTTCTTGCCATCTCTATAATGATTTGATTTGTCCTTTCAGCAACACCATTTTCTTGTGGAGTATATGGAGTTGTGGTTTGTCTATCAATTCCTTCATTCTTCAAATAAATATCAAATTGCTTAGACATGTACTTACTTCTATTGTCCGTATAGAGCACGTTGATCTTATATTCACTTTGTTTCTCAACAAGTGCTTTAAACTCCTTAAACCTCCAAAAGCATTCACTCTTGGCTTTAAGAATGTAGATCCAAATCTTTCTTGAATAATCATCAATAAAAGTGAAAAAATACCTTGATCCTCTAATACTTATGTTTTTCATAGGTCCACATACATCCAAATGGACAATCTCCTGTAACTTCGTAGCACATGTTGCTACACTCTTTGAAAATGAGGCCTTTTGTTGTTTGCCTTGTTTGCATCCTTCACATGCAAGTTGTTTTGCATTTTGGCTTGTATTGCCAAGGTCGAAGCCACTTACTATAGACTTAAGCTTTCTCATGTTCTTCACATTCAAATGGCCAAGGTGATGATGCCATATATTCAACTTGTCTTGGTTTGATGTAAACTTAGCAAATATAGCTACCTCCACTTCATTCACCTTCTTACAAATGAGGTAGTACAAATTTCCCTCTTTCAAGCTTTTGAAGACCTTGTGTCTACTCAATGTTCTTACAAAATATCCATTCATGTCGAATTGAACTTTAAAACATTTCATTACAAGTTTATTCAACAAAAGTAGGTTTTGCTTTATCTTAAGCACATGAAGGACGTTTTTGAATCTGATCCTATTGATTTGTCCATTCACAACCACCTCCACCATAATAGAGCCAATTCCAATGGCTTCACATATACTACTATCGGCCAACACCACGTTTGATGCTGGAATAGCCTCATAAATGTCAAATGTACACTTATAAGGTATCATATGCTTGAAACAACCCGAGTCCACAATCCATCTTAACGTGGTAGCCATAGAAGTCTCATTTTTTTTCAAGAATACATAATCTTGTCCTCCAAACTCATCTTGCACACTATTTGCATTCTCCTTCTTCATCTTTTTGGCTTTATAGAAATTTCGAGAAAAATGGCCTACTTTGCGACAAATGAAGCAAGATTTGACATTATCTCATTGTTTTAGATAATTGTCTTTGCCTTAACATGAGTAGAATGCTGAATCTTCACTTTGAGGCTCATTTTTTTTCTTCTTGATTACTTCATGGGCAAGTCTTGCCGTCACATAGTCTATTGTAAGCTCTTTTAACTTAATGGACTCTAATGCCACAATAAGATAGTTGTAAGATTCGAGAAGGCTCATTAGCAAGGTCATGACAATATCACTTTCTTCTAAAGGCTTGTCAACAATTGCTAGTTCGTTTGCAAGAGCCTTTATCTTATTGACATGAACCATGAGGTCTTCACCTTCTTCCATCTTGCAAGTGAAGAACTTCCTCCTTATATAGATGATGTTGAATAAGTTTTTGCTCTCATAGATGTTGCAAAGAGTCTTCCATGCTTCCTCTGGTTCTTTGCAAGTGATAATGTGGGAGAAGTTGGCTTCATCCACATTGGTTGCAATCAATCCAAAAGCCTTCTTTTCACAACGTTTGAACTCCTTCTCTTTCATATCAGCATCTTTGCTTGGAGTCTCTTCACTTTCATCTAGAATATGCCAAAGATCCAAAGATGCCAACAAAAGCTCCATTTTTACCTTCCAATAGTAGAAATTCTCAAATGTACAAGCTTATCAATGTTCACTTTTGTCGTTGATCTTCAACAAAAGTGAACATTGATAAGCTTATACATTTCTACCTTTCCTTCTATAGTAATATCAATTATCTTCTTTATAAAACTACTTGCTCTATTAGCTACCACTATATATTAGGAAGCCAAATTAATTACTTGTCTAATGACTCTTTGTTACAACAAAAAGAAATTAAATAAAAAAAAATTATAATATATTTACATGATTTAATCATACATAGTAAAAAATTACTAAATAGATTTTTATAAAATAATTATAGATAGGCCATTTAGGCTTTTGCCATGAATGCATATGAAGTAATTTATAAGTGATGTATAAAGCTTGAGATAGAATTATACAATATTAGCAATTTATAATTATTTTTATTTATTTCATGTAAAATCCAAAACATAACAAAAAGTACCATAATTATGCTCCATTCCAAACTAAAAAAATAAAAATAGATAGCTTATCATATTGAATGGCAAATTAGTAATAATTAATAATATATAAATATTCTTGATATTTTGGCAAATTTTAGGAGCATTTATGATATTTTTCCTAAAAAATATAATTATTGAAAAAAATCCATGTATACATTAGATGTTTGTATGTATATATATATATATATATATATATATTGTGTGTGTGTATGTGTGTTTGTATATATGTATGCATATATGTATGTTTGTTTGTTTATGTATATATGTTTGTTTGTGTATGTGTGTATGTCATGGACATACATACTTATCTTAGAAATTACTTATATTAGAAGGATTAAGTAGAAGTAAGTAGAAGTAAGTAAATCTGATAAAATTTTGTAGAGAAGCTTTATAGATGCAAATTTGACTTTAAATATTTCTATGTGTAATTGGTAGGTTGAAAACTTGGCCAATAAGTTGGCCACATGATACACATGATGCCATATGGTGCATATATATGAAATATGTTTTACAAGTTAGATACATGTTAGAAGTCCTATAGTTTGTTGCCATATAGCTTCTAGTTAGATAATATATGTAAAGGCTCCTTTCTTGCTTCTAGATTAGTTTCAAGAGTCTTTAGTTTTTGAGTCTTTGGCAATAACTAGTGTAGTTTCTTCTTGTATATACATACTTTCTTATTTCTTTTTTGTCACTTTTCTTTGATATACATCTTACTTTACTTATTTATGTTCTTTGGATTCTTGTCCTTGATAATATGTATGTACATACTAGTATTATAGTTCTTTATTTTCTTTTGGAAGTAATATGTTGAAATAATAGGTTTATGAAAAAAATAGGAATTAATTTTTAAAAGATTTTATTCATATATATATATATATATTTATATCACTGTAAAAATTTAAAATATAAAAATATTATGTGAATTTTGTATATTAGACATCATCCAATATGATTATAGCTTATATAATGTGACTCTTAGTATTAATTTTAGATATTGAGTCCCTTTTTAGTTTTTTTATTTTTTATTTTTATTTTTATTTTTATTGAGACACTTAAGTGAGATATGTATTATATAATTATTTTAGATAAAACTTATTGATGGTTGAATGTATAAAGAAATATAATTCCATGGAGATAGATGAATATATACAAACATTTCATACTAATTTTGATGATAAAATAAAAATATTTTTCAAAAAAATATCCTTATTAAAAATATGTAAAAAAATCTTGAATCATATAATAATAATAATAATAATAAACACATCACAAATAAAAACCATAAAATTTATCATAAATAAGGAAAGGAGGGGAAGGAAGAAAGAGAGAGTCGTGGGCGTGGATAGATGGATGGATGGAAGAGTGGGGGGTTGTTATGCACCTGAGAAGTGAAGGAATGCGGTGGAGTGGAGCAGGGGAATAAGGGAGGAGGAACGCGGAGAGGGGGCTCTCTGCTCTGCTCTGTGCTTCTTCTTCTGCTGCTGCTACTTCAGCACCACAGTTGTGGTGGTGGTGGTGGTGGTCCCCCCCCCCTCCCCCTCCGTCCCCTCCTTTTCCTTTGTTGCAGGATCCTTTGGCTCTGCCACACTTCGGTCTTCCTTCCTCGGGTTCGTTCCTCTCTCGCTCTCTCTCTCTTTGATCCTGCCCTTCCTTTCTTCCCCCGTCTCCATTCTTTCCTGCCTCGTCCTGTTTCGTCTCCTTTACCCCTCCCCCCCCCCCCCCCCCCCTCATGTGCTGCCGAGGTTATTCCCATCTAGGGTTTTTCTCTGCCTCCCTTCTTGCTTGCTATCCATCTATCTATCGATGTCTGCGCTCCTCTTCACCTCGGTTCAACGCATCGCTGACTGCTGATTGTAGGATGTTGGCTTTTCTGCTTGTGTCTAAGTGACTTCTTCTTTCTTTCTTCCTCCCCTTCTGTTATCACATTTTTTTTTTTTTTTTTTTTAAATCATCGTTTCTTTGTTTTCCCCTGCACGATTTAGTGGAAATTTACCATAAGACAAGTTTTATGCTTGAATGGTATATGACACTGCGCTATTGCTGATATCTTCTACATGGATTTTGTGTTCACTTTTGTTGAATCATTTTAGATTGCTGAGCGCAATTTGATACAAAATTTAGTCGTGACACTAGTTTTTTTGGGATGCTAAGACGTGGTTATGAATGTAACGTAGCTTTTATGTCCTAGAAATGTATATTTAATGCATACAGGAGGATTTGAGGGATTGTGGAGCGTTGACATGAGTTTGAGGTGTTCAAGTAGTCAAATATATAGGTGATTATCGCCTGGCACATAGTAACGTCGCATTTTTATTTTGATTTTTGATTTATTTTTTGTACTTTTTGGTATTCCATTTGATTGGTTTTTCGCAAACACTGCATTTTTGCACTCTAAAATTTTGCGTACACCGTCTGTGATCTCCATTTTTATATCATGAACTCACTCCTTTTCACAGTGCTGTTGTGAGTATAGCTTGTGTGTTGGACATCTTATGTGTTTGTGGAACTCCAGTGAAGAAATTTACATTCTATATTACATCAATTGCAATGTAAACAGGCCATGGCTGCTTCATGAGTAGTTTGAACATATTTAAGGTTGACTAAATTGACATACCGGTTGATTTTACTTGACTTTGCAGTTTGCTCTCTCGCAACCAATATCCATCAATATTTTGCCGGTCATGGCACTGCAATTGCGGAAAATGCTCGTAGGATTGTCTATCACTCGTTCCCTTACGTTCAAATGTGCCGAAGGTGTTGCTCCCTCATCAAGGATACCATGGCTGCATAGCTCCAGATTATTTGCCTCAGTAGACGCTTCAAATGAAGGGAAGAGAAAATCGAACGAGGACGAGGGTCACAGGGTGACAGTGGAGGGTGGGGATGCCTCTCCTTCGAAAGAGGATATGGATGACCACGACGGTGGCGGCTTAGATATCAACACCGAGACTGGTGAGGTGGGCGGACCCCACGGTCCAGAGCCCACTAGGTATGGAGATTGGGAAAAAGGCGGCCGTTGCTACGATTTCTAGTTTGTAGTCTTTTGCGTTTTTACTATAGTGGCGGTATCTAGTCCCACAGTTACAATGAGCTAAGAATCTCAGCGAGGGATTATTCAAACGCACATTGAATTGCTGGGATAGGATTGCAATGTGAACTGTCACACAGTGTAATAGTCGCACTTTTGGTTTTGTTAATGACTTTAATAATCACGTTAACTTTGAGTTTAACTTCTAATACCGGCTTTGAGGTTACAACCTTTAGTTGAGCATTGCGCGCTTTTAATGCATGCTGCTAGATAGTAAACTTATAGTATCTAGCTTCGGACTTTCAAGAATTCCCTAACAGATGAAGATATGGATGCGTTTCCATTGATGCCGATGTTCGTAATCTCTTTGATGGCAGACTTTGTTAATGAGGGATGTTATTGGTATTGAATGATGTATATGGAAATGGGTTCTTTCTTTGGAGAAGAGATGCTAGGCCAAGAAACGGTAGCGACAGCAAATACTTGTGACTGCATTTCAGAGTATTTGAAGGTGAGATAAGAAATAGTTTATTAGTACAAAGCACTAGTTTTATCGGTTTTATCTCATTTCATTTACTATCTTTATTATTATTCTTATTATTATAATACCGGTTTTTAGTCGTGTGATCTGGTCCAATGCCGATCTTTACCTCATGGAGTCTTTTTGCACACCAATTATTGGAGAGAGCGGTCATTTGATTTTTCTATTCCGAGTATAATCGTGAGATATAGGTCCCAACGTGCTCATTGTGTGTGCATCTGTGTGCTTATTAACTCTATATTTACATATGTTGTAACATAAGTTCATCTAGTTTATAAACGCAGCTATCGCGCGATTCCGAAGATTTACGAAGACATATGACGACGTTACTGGGAGCGTTCCACATACAGACATCAATCTATTGGATATGATGAGGTAGGTTCGTCTTGAGAAATTCATCTTTTGGTGTGAGTGTGGTTTCTGGTATTTCCCCGTTGCAATTTTTATTTATGGTTGTTTGTTAGCGGATTAGTTACTAGAAGATGGTCCACTCTGTCCAACTATGACCCGTCTTCTTTATCATATGACTTCGGTTTTGATATCTAAATAAATCGCGATCAAGTTCAGTTAGGGTCACTGAGATAGCTCCACCACATAATCTTGGACATGAGTGAAAATTTGAAGTAATACTTGCTGGACGAAATGGATTGGTTTGATTTTAGTAATAACAAAAGTTTATTGCATGCGTAGGAGATACTAGATAATATTTGCTAGGGTTTGGAAGATGTTTTAGTTAAGGTTGTACTAAGTGAGATCAAATTAGGCTTCTAAATTTTTAGTACAAATTGTAAAACGACGTTGGTAAAAGAAAACATAGCACTACATGATATTATGTTTTTTTCCATTGAATAATTTTGTATATAGATTTTGTATAATTATTTGTGTTCATCATTATTTCTTCCAATGATATATGTGGAAAATATTCGCATTTAATAGTAGGATATTTAGACTGAATAAAATCTTATCAAATTAATAGCACTCTAATTTTTGGCTATTAAACTTGTTTGAAAGCCTAGTTGAATTAGTTAAGAGTTTATTGACTTAGGTAATAACAAATTCAATCTAAAGAAAAAAAAAGGCTTATTAAGAGCTATTATAAAAGATCACTTTGCTTGTTTTATAACTTAAAATATATATATATATATATATATATATATGTTTGTTTAAACTTTATGGTATTAATATTTATTGGATTTTTTTGTAATTAAAGATTGGAGATGGTTTGAATGTATTCAATTTGTTGAAAAATATTTTTTACTGAGTTATAAATGAAAGCTCAATTTCAGAGTCCTTGATCAAATCTATTTATGGCGGTTACAAGTGGAAGGGACATGTACTAATTTTGCTTAATAAACTAAGTAATTTTATAAGAACAAAACAACAATTACAAGATTTTAAAATTATGTTACAATTAATAGGAGTCTGCAAGTGATAATTAGGCTTTTTTCAAAAAATATCATTGGCTTCAATGTTAATAAAAAAAACTCTTATAAAATTATATTCCTGTAATTTCTAAGGAAATTTGTGTATATAATGTCTATCAATAAATCTTTGGGCCAATCATTGTAAAATATAAGACAAAGAAAGTTGCCCATTCCAAATTAGATGTCATAATTAAAGTATGGGAAGTTTAAGAAAAATAGAGTTATTTATTTGTATTTATCAAATAAATTATTTTTATAAACATATTTTCAATTTTAAAGTAAGTTTTTTTAAAAAAATAGGCATTTTTTATGTTGATATATATATATATATATATACATGTAGACATGTATATATTAAGACAAAACTTAAATCAATCTAGCTAAAAACTAAATACATATATATTTCATTTTTTCATTACATAAGTATACAAAGTCCATATATATATATATATAGACAAGCATTGAGTGGTTGTATAAAATAATTCAAAAATAGACTATTCCATTTACTAATCAATCAAGTTAATTAAAATTATGTCTTAATTTATGTATAAAACATCATAAATACTTACAAGGACCAATTTATATAATATTTCAATTGCAAGTAGTGACCGAGTTAGCACATGTATCAATTTAAAAATCAATTCAAGCATGTATTACACAATGATTACATTATACATTCAAAAAAAAAATTTAAATAAATAAATAAAGTAATAAATTTACATTAGTAATTTACAAAAAATCTAGTTGTTGCTGTTCAAGTTGTCATTGTACGATTGATGCATAGTTACAGATATTCACGTCCAAAAAACATTAGCTTCAAGTTTTACAAGAAATGTACAATTTAAGGTTGAAAATCTTCCTCGGAATATACTTCAAGATTGAAAAAATCAATCCACATCCGCTACAAAACATTTCTTATGTCATTATAGAAAATAGATCTCATTCAATAATTAGATTATAATGTGCAAAATGTGAACGATTCTAAAAGAGTACTCATCCACGAAAACAGAATGCAGATTTTTCTCATCCCCAACACAAGTTCGTGAATATCCAGCTCAAGTGCTGGTTGCTTCGAAGTATCACCACCAACCTACTCAATTAGCTAATCTCCGCTGCAGAGATTTGCACTTGAAAATTGATTTAAGCTAAATCTTACCAATCCTCAAAACCGTTAAAAACGAAAAAAGTCGCAGTTATCTATAATGTATTCCAACTGGAATTGCACAAACCAGAGGCTTTTTTCTGGTGAACATCACCTCCAGATTCTAGCATAAATGTGACTTCGTGAGTCAACCTCGCCTGCTGCATCATCACAAGACAGTCATTTTTACAGATGGCAATGTGCTATCTCGAAAGACAATAGCCTAGATCTCCAATCGAAAGGTGATTACATCTGGAAAAAATAAGTAGATAAATAAACAAATAAGACAGTGAACAACCCCACATGCTTTCATCTTCATGTACTTTCATCTTCGGTACTCTGAACTGAACGATTGCGCTGCAACTTTTCCTTAATACCATTACTCAGACTCTTCACACCTGAAGACCCTTCTACTGCGGAATTTTGAGGTTCTTCACTAACAGCTTGTTCAGTATGATCTTCGAAACCACTCGATAGGCCCACTTTTGACTCTACTTCCTTAAAATCAGATCGCTTCAAATTGCCACCGAATATGTTACTATGGATAGGAATGGGGTGAGGACAATCCTCTATGTTATCTCCCTCAGTCCACAGCCGACTGTGAAAACCACCACGAACAGGCTTCTCATTCTCCTTAGGCTTTAGACTTCTTGGTGGTGTCAAATTGTCCAACGCACTTCCTGGTTTCAATTCTGCAGCTTGGACAGATCGTGTTGCTTCGGCAAGGAGACGTCGGGTCTCCCTCAACGTTGCCAACGTAGCAGGATCAGCGTTCCCGGAATTTTCTAATGCAATTGCTGCTTTCTCAGCATTTGCTATCAGCATACTGATCATCACATCGACCATTATAGGGAAATTAGCGATTTTGTAAAGGTTTCAGGCTGTAACACGAGATACCACCCAGCTATCTTGCTTACAGTATCCCAATAAAATGCACAGTAATGTATTTTAGACATTAAACGTTTTCTGACGCTCAATGAGGCACAATGGCTGGGTCTAATAATTTACAAACCAACTACATGAAATTAGGAACATGTAAAATCTCACTCCTATCGATTCCAGAATGTGGGCGAAGAACAAACAGTATAATGGAAGATTACATATAAAAAGAAAAAAACATTTCATAAGGGAACACTCACCGTGCTCGGTCTGCAGCTTCCTTTCGCTTCAGTTCAATCTCAAGCCGACCCTCTCGCAGCTGTTGGATCCTCTGTATCTTCTCAAGTACAAGAGGGTCTTTATATGACTGTGCAGACAATTTATTACTAAGCTGAACATCTCCTCGTCCCGTAGTTGAAGTTTTGACATCAATCTCTGATACAGGTCTATCCGTTGATACATCCACTTCTTGTTTTACTCTTTTATCATTCATACTAGCCGCCTTGTTGTCATTTCTTGATGATAAACTGTGTTCTCCCCTACTAACCAGGGTAACTTTTGTTGGCCCTTTCTTTCGAGCGGCAATAGATCGGTCACATTTTGTTTTTAGTGTAACTTCCTCAGCTAGAACTTGAGCAATAAAATCTTCATCCACATCTGTAGGTTGTAGTAATCTTTTCTTCTCTACCAAAATTTCTTCAACAGAAGCTACAGTATTTTCTTCCTTCGCAAGAGTTACTTTGACGTTAGAAATGTCCAAAATAGATTCTGCCAAAGAAGAGGGATGTTTCCGCCTTTTACTCGCATCACTTTTAGCCATACCAGCGAACACCTTTGCTTGATATTCCTGCAAAAATTAAACAAATCATGGATATGATCACAGTAACCTGTTGGAACATGTTAACGAAATAACTGTACAGTGCATATCCGAACTCAGGTCGTGACACATTCGATAGCAATTGGACCCCGGCCAGGACTTACTTGAACAGATGAACAGAAGCGATGACATCCAAGCAATGCATGCACGCTAAAGACGAAGGGAACAAACGACGTATATATATGTATGAAATCTAGAATGGGGCGCCAGATATATGTCCATACCGGGTCTGCCCACTTGGCTCTTATGGCATCAGAGATGGCCTTTCGATGCGCATCAGAAACAGGCTTTTTTTTTCGTTCCCCCCTCTGACGTGCTCTCCGTGCCTCTCTTACCTGCTTTTCTGCTTGAATCTCTTCCAGCCTATATTGTTCTTTAACTTTCGAGTAAGAGTCCCACTCGTACTCTTCCTCTCTGAAGTCTCCAACCCTTGCAGCCTCAGCTATCACCTTTTTCCATTCTCTGAGACACAAAGCTTGCGCTTCATTGAGAATCCGCCTCCTATTCCAGTATCCAATCAAGCTTTCTCGAATCTTTGCCTTTGTTTCCGTGCTGAAGACAGCACATACGAGGTCAGGTCTTTGTACAGAAAATATTTACAAAACGAATTATCAAGTGCAATTGCACGCATGTGCGTGCCTCTCGTAGAATGCTATTACGGCACGGTAAATGTCATAAGAATTTTGACCTACACATTAACGCCCAACTAAGTACTCTGAAACAATAACAGACTGAAACAACACATTCCCAGGTAAAGCAAAAACCTCTGATTCTTCCCACAATGACGAAGCTTATCCCGAACCTGAATGAAACAGAAACATGGATACGAACATAAGATGGGAAAATCAAACAGAACGGTGTTTATGACAGATATTTGGAATGGCGCAAAGAATAAGTCATCAACACGCATTGATGCTTGAATACTGATCACATGCTATACAGAATGCTCACTTCTGGATTGAGCATAGCCACTTTTGTACGCTCTTTTATTTTCTTGATAGTTTCTGCACAACACGCAATAAACAAACCACAATTGAACTTGTAGACCGGCTCCAGCACATTAAAACTGCAAACGATTAGACGAGCCTCCGCCTCCGATCTAGATGCATCTTGTCTAAGCAAGAGAATTTATTTGCATGTCCTAATGTATCCAGCAAAGGAATCTAACACTCCACTGATCGCAATGTGATACGTGCTACAATCAGAGTTAGCTTGTCATAATGCGTACCTGGTGAATGACGTTTTCCCTTATTCCAAGGTACTTTCCCTTTATTAGCACTTGATATTCTATCTCGACGCAATTGTTCTTGAGAATCAATAGTACAGCTGGTGCTCTGTGCTCTTCTCCCATCACCATCTTGATCCTCGCTGCTCAATACTGGTGATCCGTAGCTAAAAGCAAGAAGCTGGTCTGAAGCTAAATCCTCTGATATGACTAAAGGCCGCCTACTTTGGGCAACGCTTGTTGCTGTTATAAGTATCCACGGGTTTTGGAAAGTCTTGGAAGAATGCTTAAGATATAATTTGAAAGACAATGAAGATTTTCGACGATGACGTCGAGAACGATATCTCTTAGGATCGATTGACCATGAAGAAGCGGTATGAAAGGAAGCAGCTGAATAGTTATCCTTGTACCCACTAATCGACGAAGGATTCGCAACAGACCTGCATTTCATGCATACATCCGTGAGTACGAATGCAACCAAGGATACAAGCAGGAGTTGTTCTATACGGTTCACCTACCAGACATAAGATATCGTATCCAATGCAACGAAAGAGAAACCGGAAAATGCGTGGTCGAGGAAATGGCTACAGCTAAGAAGCAACCCGCCACAGTGCCAGTTTCAAAAGAACTATGAACAAATGCCGTAAAAAAACACTATCACTCGAAACATTAAAACCTGAGTTTTGGAGAATACATGCGGTTAAAATGTACCAATGCACTTTACTTCTATCTCCCTGCAAATACGTAGTAAGCCTCCTCTATCCATACAGAGAGAAAAAAACACAGCTAGTATCACGATGACTCATCGTAGAGAAACTTCACAAAAACTTTATCAAAACTTACAACCTATACAGAAAGACTACAGATAACATCGAATCCATAATTGCAGCTCCTTACACTAGCCAAGTGTTGTTATAAACAAACGCAGTGACCAAGCCCCAATGTATCTCTGTTATAATCATTTACCGGGCTTGAAATTGTTCATAAGGGTAGAGCTTGCAGTAAAATTATAAACCCTAGCAGAGTCTTCTTGAACGACACATTCCTGCGAGAGTAGCTACCTCCCCGCTGGATAAAATGAAGTTCCGTCCTCACATAATTGCTAAAATTGAGAAGAAAAAGAGACTTCCAAATGCAATCTCAGCACGGGAACTGCTCGTGAGTCCCATATCGATATATGATGATCTTGCATTCATCAATTTGCATTCGTTGATGGATGCTGGTGCGAAAACGAGCAGAATAAAGTTCAAAATCATCTTTGCCTAATAAGCAATTTAAAAAATTGTTTATCATAGCTATCATCTTACTGTCAAGCCTTCGATTGCTTCTCTGACTTGATTGCTACACATGGTCTATTGAGTAGTGAGGAGCAAAATGTGTTCAACAACAGCAGCGAAGTGTAGAAGTGTAAAGTTCTCGAAGTAGAGCTTACCTTAACAAAACGCGCGCATCCCCAACACACGGCAAGTAGCAGAGGGCCATAGATGATAATCCTCTTGCATTAACTTTTGTGTTTCATCCACCAGCTGGTAGGGCTAGGAACAAGGAGTAGGCATCTCTGCGTTTCAGACGAAATTCAGTGACGCAAAGCGGATTTTCTCTGGTTCGCTAGACAAAATAGAGAGTCGAGCGTAAGATTATCCCCCAAGGCACGCAACTTCCTTCAAACGGTTTTTTTCCACATAGGTACCAAACTGGCAGAAAATAACCCAGTTGCGCCGGTTTTCACAGCCAAGCGTATGGAATCCAGCCACCGTTTCGGTAATAAGGGTGATATGAAAGAAGGTGGAGACGCATACGGGGAAAATTCAACAACGAACTCCCTGAGTGCCAGTCGAGGTAGGCGTCGGGGAAGGGGAAAGAGAATGGAGAAGAAAGAGGTTTAGGAAGCAAGGTTCAGAGGGAGAGGTATGGGAGCAAGAGTGAGAGAAGAGAAATGGATAGCAATGCAGGATGAGGAGGAGTGGAAGGAAGGCGGCCACCGAGGAAAACAGGACCCATAAGAAATATATCATATAATCATCACTAACGCAAAGTATTGCAATGGAGAAGAGCAGCACGATGGTCAACTGGAGGAGTGATCGTCATCAGAAGGGAAGAACCTGCTGATAATGGACGGATGATGTTAGTTGCGGAGAGTCGGGATAAGGGAGACATGATGGCCATGGGGTGGTGGTTGTGTACATCCAACATCCAACATCCGTTGTAGATGGAGGCACAGCAAGAGAAAGTGGAGACCAGCCCAGTAACTAGGGAGTTGGTAATGCTAACATCGACAACACTGTTCTGCAAAGATCAAGTGCGAGTGTGATGAGGCTTCAAACCCAATCGACACACCAGGTGGAGAGGGTACTAGCCCCTGCCTAGGTGAAGGGCTCAAACCGAGGAAGTCCAGAATGCGGATGGCATGTGGTGGTGCCCAATAGCGGCCGTCTGCAGTGAGGGATGCGGCTGAGAAATGGGAGGGGGGAGCAGGAGCCAATTAGTCCCAGCCCCTACAGCCAAAAATTGCGTACTCATGACGTCCTCACCCACCACGGTGTAAACAGATGAATTCGACGGTGGCTGCCCCAGGGTCGAAATGCCAGAATCCTGTCAGATAGCCTCTTTGTGGAATGTTGCGACGATGGCAGGACATGGTAGCATTATTTTAATGGATCCTGTCCAGTTTGGCGGAGGTGCTTGGGATGTGGAAATTAACTGCAGAAGCAGGTTAAAATATATTGTTAAAATAGATAATGCCGTTAAAATACAATGGTCGAGAAAGGTGTATATTTACAGGTCTCTGGTTATAAGTGTAGTTAAGGTAATCTCTAGGACCAGTCAGAATTACGTTATCTGCAATGGATGAAAGTCATCCGAGACAAGTTGGTTTCAACAACCCCCTCTCAAGTCTTGATTGTAATAACCTTACTTTCAGGTGCACACAATTTGCCTTGCATCATTCTGGATACAAAATCCTGGTTTATCCTCAAACTAAGGTAGTACGTGGTTGACAACAATGAGCTGCACACATATAGAAATCAAAAAACGTGTGAAGATAATCTCTTGGAGTTCATTTGTAAGGATAAGTTGCCATAAAAACTTGGTAATTTCCATTCTCTTCAGTTGTTTGTTTATTGTTGAATTTTGGCTTTCCCTTGCATAGTTGAATAACTATTTGTGTCTTCTTTACATGTCAATACTAGGCTAATGGTTTTGTATTTGATTATAATGATGTTGTAGCAAATTATTGCTATTTTACTTGACTTGGTTGAATTGGTGATGGTTCATTGTTAGCGAAAGGATTGAACGTAAGTCAAGTGGATGAAAAGAAAAGAAGAGAAGGAGATGAAGATATATAGATGTTGTAGTAACAATCAATTTAATAAAATTAGAATTTTGGCAAACAATTAATTAACTAGAGAAAGTACTAAGGTAATGCCAAATAAATACTATGCTAACAAAAGAGGTTTTTGGCCAAGAATTTATGTAGAGGAAAAAAAGAGCAAGAAGAAAATCAAGAATTTCTTGGGTGCTAAGTTTAACAATTTTAAAAATTACATAGAAGCTTTAGCTCATTTTGAAGGTAAATTATAATTAGACAAAAAAGAATAAAAGATTAATAAGGCTAAGCTTTGATTTAAGAAGATCAAATTTATTTCTACTTGGATTTTTTTTAAAAATATATCTATTGGTTGAGCATTTATAAAAACATAATTTAATTTGGTTTTTTTGGATTCAACTTTCTTTCTAATAAAATGATGATATATTTTAATATACCTAGATTTAGTATGAAATATAATATTCTTTGCTAATTTGATGGCCAATTTATTATCACAATGGAAAGTCAAGAAATTAGGCTCTATATTTTCTTGAAGGTGTCATTATCTATAAAAACTTTGATATTATATAATTGATTAGACTTGTATAGCATGCTATGATTATTGAAAAAAAGACCATTGAAGTCACAACACATAGCATCACTAAGATTGCACATAAAGAGAGTATGGAGTAAGATAACTCTCACTTCTAAAATCCATTATTTACAAGTGGTGGTTGCTATCCAAATCAACAACTTTCATCTTTTAATATATATTGAAGAATAAGAACTTTGAAGTTATAACACATAATATTAGCAAGGTTACACATAAAGAGAGTATGGAGTAAAATGTCTCTTATTTCTAACACCCATTATTTATAGGTGGTAGTTGCTACCATAAAAAATAACTTCTACTCTTTAACTTTTATACATATGGTCTTAGGATCTTTTGGCATCTAATTTACTATAAGAATATTTTATGGACCTTAGATCTTTTAGCATCTTATAACCACAAAGATATCCTATGTTAAATATTAATTATTCTTATTTATTCTTTAATTTTTTTAATTGATATTTTATCCTCTTAACTTTGATTTTTAATCCTTGGCCTTGTTCTATATCTGTAGAATTCTCTTTTTATATATCAAGAATAAATCCTTTGACCATTAGCAACTTACCTAAGGTAATATCTTTCATAAAGTAAGTTGTTTCTTTTTTACATGCTTACTTCAATACCCTTACTTTGCTACTAGTTAAAGGCTTTCAATCCTAATGCCTTTGTCAACATGTGATGTATATCCCTTATTAATACCTTTATCAACAAATTAGCAAGCATGTCTTTTATTCTACAATATTTTATATCAATTACTTTCATTTCAATCTTCTTTTTTATAAAGTGATGTTGAATGTCAATGTGCTTAGTCCTTGAATGATGCTTTGAATTCTTTGTAAATGCAAGATATTCTTGATTGTCACATTCCTTTAGAATTGTTTCTATTTGTACTACTCTAATATCCTCAAAGATCTCTTTTAGCCATATTACTTCCATTATATGATGATTTGATGACATGTATTCTGCTTCCATTGTTGACTTTATAATTATTCGTTGTTTCATGTAATTCCATGAAAGAGCTTCTATCCCAACAAAGAATACAAATCCCATTGTAGTCCTTCTATTATTTCTTACTTCAGTCTAATTTATACTATAATAACCATATAAAGTAATGTTATTACTTTAAAGACACAATTTGAAGTATAAAGTGCGTTTTAAGTACCTCATGATCCATTTGATGGTTGTTCAATATATTGGTCCAGCCTTTCATATGTGTTGATTCACAACACTCATCACTCATGCAAGATCTATCTTTATGCCACCTATTACATATATAAATAAGTATACTATTTTTTTGTATAGAATATCTTACTTTTTACCTTTAATTTTAATAAATTTTATATTTTTGATCTTCATCAACTTCAAATTGACTTTCAAAGGTATTCTAATAGGCTTACATTCCTCCATATTAAATTATTTCAATAACTATTTAATGTACTTATTTTGGCTCATTGTAATGGTCTTCTTAGTAAAATCTCTCACAAATTCCACTTCTAAATAATAGTGAAGGTCTTCCAAATTACTCATCTCAAATTCTTTTTTTAACTTTGGCTTCAACTAATCCATTATCTTAAAGATATTAGTAAAGATGATCAAGTCATTAATATAAACGATGACAATCAATATAAATTCTTTTAATTATATTTTATATAAAAAATAATCAACTTTACTTCTTTAAAATCTTTCATTTATAAAAAGTGAATCAATATGTTAGTACCATGTCTTTGATAATTATTTAAGCTCATACAAAAATTTCTTCAAATTATAAACAAGATGTTGTTCACTTTTTTCAACAAATCCTTGAAGTTGATCCATGTATATGTCTTCTTTTAGATTTTTATTAAAAAAATATGTCTTTACATCCATTTGATGTATCTCCAAATCAATTCCTATCTCAATTGCCATAATAATTTTAGTATTAGTAAATTTGGGCAAAAAAGCAAATATCTCATTAAAATCAATACTAATAACTTGTGAATATCTTTTAGAATTCAATCTAGCTTTGTATCTTATTATATTATCTATTATATCTTTTTTAGTTTTAAATAGCTACTTATAACCAATTGAAAATCAATTTGATAGAAGTTGAGTGAATTTCCATATTCTATTGTCTATGAATGATTTATATTCTTCTTTCATATCATTCTCCTAATTTATAGCATCTATAGATTTTATTGTATCACATAAATTCAATAAAGTAGCATAGAATATAATATTAGCATATTTTTTACTTATTTGAAAAAAAATGTAATTCTTCCACCATTCACAAAGTTGTTTTCTATGTCTCAAAGGATATTTCTTTTTATTGACTGAAAATTCATCTTCATGCACTCCAAATCCATTATATCTTTCATCTTTCTTACAACTTGTCTCTTTATATTCAAAGATTGATATTCTTCATTATCATCATCATCTTTAATATCTTGATTTTTTTTTGTTGGTTCTAATAATTGTAGACGTACTTTGATCTATTTCTTTTGACTCTTCATCTTAATTTATATTTCTACCATCATCACTATCATTATTTTTTATGTTTTATTGATTTTTTTGTTGAAATTGAAGATATGTCTTCAAATACTCTATTACTTCTACTTAAATACATCTCTTAGTCTTCATATGTATTCTTATGTTCTTAAAAATCTATACTCTTAATAATTTTCTTGATTTCTAAACAACTTAGTCTATATGCCTTAATATTTTTAATATGCAACAAATACATATTTGTAGCTTTTTCATTAATTTTGGATCTCATATATGAAAATATATATATATATATATATATATATATATAAGCAATACAACCAAAAATCTTCATGTATGAAACACAAGATTTTTTGATATTTTAAGCTTTTTATGGAATCATTGATGTGAATGTATTTTTAGGGCATCTATTTCTTGTATATATAGTATTTAATGTAGATTTCACTTAATGCTCATGCGCAAGATTTTGTGCATAAAACATACTCCTTGCCATCTCTATAATGGTGTAATTTTTTCTTTCACCAACTCTATTTTATTGTAGAATGTAAAGAATAGAGATTTACCTTGCAATATCGTGAATCTTTAAAAAATCATCAAAATTCTTTGATATATAGTTATCTCTATTATTTGTGCACAACACTTTAATTTTGTGCTTATATTGCTTTTCTATAAATGTCTTAAATTCCTTAAACCTTGAGAAATATTCATTTTTAGCTTTAAAGATGTAAATCTATACCTTTTTTAAAAAATCATCAATAAATGTCATAAAGTACTTTATTCCTTCAATTGATGGTATTGTCATTAGTCCAAAAATACCAAAATTTATAATCTCTAGCATGTGTTGCAACTCTTTTTGGAAATGAAGTCCTTT